TAAGTCCCTTAATTTCAGATTAAAGCATGCTATCATCAAATAAGGTCCAAAATTCTAACAGAATCGTGGGGCCCAAGCCCATATGCTCAAAACAACCCAAAATTTGGACTGCACTGCACAGTGCCGAGACAGCGACTCCAACTGTGAAGCGTTACTGTACAAGTGCGTGGGATATATGCTGATAATTAATCACCCCTCAACGGGGATTTGAAAGTTTGGTTCCTTCCAAACTTAGCAGATCCTCATTTAGGTCTTTATCAAAGCAGCAACCACACACGTAGATTCATGAACCTTTGCCCCTTTCTCCGTACCCGTAAGCAAATTCCCATCCCCAACACATTAACATCTAGTGATTGGTAGACCTAAATTGCGGTATCTTATCCAATCTCACAATGAAGAAAAGAATTGATTTTATATGACTTGTTAACACCCTCACGGTTACCCAACAATTTATAAGGTTAAGGTTGGAATCGTGATAATTAGGTATTAGAGTGACTCGATTTCTCATCACTAATGTCACGATCGAGTATTAAACCATATATGTCACGTTTAACATTATATGGTCCAATCTAAAAAAAAGAAGGAAAGAACATATTTAAAATTTTATATAATTTTTTCATACCTAACAAATTAAAATTTTAAATTAAAACGTGATTTATAGATCATTGAATAAGATGCACGTGGCGAGCCGCTATTAGAAAAGAACATGATAGGGGTTGAAGAGTCTCATCGTGTGCTACAAAGGACAAGATTTAAGGTTGTAGTGACAAGAGTTGGTGTTGCTTTCATTGCTGAAAACTGATGAGAAAAGAAGTTTCTGCTTGTCCTCAAAAAACAGCACTGACATTTACCATACAGGACCATTTGCACCAGGTGGACGCATTCGATCCAACATGTGCCCCCCAACTTATCTAAATCACGATTGATTTTGGCAGTTTTTATAATTTTAATAACTATCACATGATTTTTACGTTTATGTACTTTCCAGATGTGACCTCGAAATTTAAGACTTCGTTTAGTATAGGGCAAGGTAATTATAATCACTAATAAAAATATTAAAGAGATTAAAATTATAAAATATTGTTTTAAAATATATTAATTTTATTTAATTTAATTGATAAAAATATTTAATAATTATAATTATTAACTAATAATTGATAAAATAATTAATATTAATTAATTAATTAATTAAAATTAGTCATCAATTTGATATGTTTAAATACAACTTAAAAATGAAAACTAAAATTTTAGTGACCGTAGAAATAACTACGCCTTTTATATAATTATGGTTATTGAATTTTAGTTTTGATTTTTAAAATTTAAATAATCAAAATGAATAATTAAAATTGACAATTTATTAGATATAAAATTTTAAAATTAAAATCCAAAAGTGTAATCTTAATTAATTTATAAAATTTCTTAATTTTATTTTAGGGTTTCTAAATTTTTATAATAAAATAAAAAAGCTTAACATTCTAACCATACTAAGTAGAGTCTTAATTTATGGAAAGATTGATTTATTCTAACAAGGATCAAATCACGCTTTGCACGAGTCAGTTAATATTGATAGCTAATACTGTAATATTTGTAACAATATTATTATTTATAAGTAATTTAATTTAAGATTTTATGATTTATAATCATGAAGTGACATAAATTTATATATTAAATAAATTTGATTGTTCTAAAATCATATAACTATATCTATTATGCTTATTTTTCAATTGAATGTAATTACTCTTCAAATTATTGGAGGGGTTGGGTAGGCTTTAGAAAAATGCAAGAGGCCTAAGGAGGCCCACAGGGTTTGTTCTATTTAATTTTGGGCATAAAAATTAATATTATTGGGTCTTTTTAAAGAAATTAATTAAGCGGGATTAATTTTTTAATAATTTAAGGATTTAAAGATGCCTCGGTGGTTGAAACCCTGACGGTCTTTGGATTTATATATTCATTGCTCAGTCTAAGGAAGGTCTTGACTTTTATAGTTTTATTTAATTCACATTTATATGATAGTGTAATCTGTAATGTTTGATTAGTGGTTTAAAAATACTTTGATGGTAAATAATTAATAACTATTAATATTTATAATTTAAATATCTTTATTCACTTGATTAATACATGTCGCTAATAACTAATTTTAAATGCTTATTGCAAAAGAAATAAATGAAAATTAAGATGATTTAGTATTTTAAATATCATAATTTTTATAAAATTGT